CAGCTTCAACAAGAAGATATTTGCAGTATTAATAGCTAGCTAGCTAGCTAGCAAATTAAGGATCGATCGATCGTACGTTATCAATTTTGATTATCACGTAATCATCATCATATGTTATTGATCCTGCATGTCAATTAAGCCTATTTTGTTCTCAGCCGATGATCAGGGAAGAGTATTTGTTAATATAGAATTTCTTGGTGGGCATTATTGCAGCTGATCACTGCTACTAGCTACGTCTGTGATTGTTGTGATCTCTTGCTCTCTCAAGGAAGATCATTTGTCTCTCGAGGTGACGATCAGTAATTGTCTTCTGCTATAATTTCTAATTGGTACGTGTCTCTATAGCTACATATATGATCTGATTTGTTATATATATATATATATATATACACACACACACACACACACACACACACACATATACTTCCCTTGCTTTTATTTTCTCCTAAAATAACCAAGTATTAGATTAAAGATTTGCTTAACTTATAATTAATTAACTTGATATGTCATCATCGAATTCCTTACTACATGTTAATATGTTATTAAGTAATTGCTCAAAAACCTCCCTGATCAAAAGAAACACCTACATATATATATATATATATATATATATGAGAGTCTAACTAGGGAAGAATAATATATATTGATGAGTTTTTTTTCCACCAGTTTTTAACATAATTTTTTAGGGTTATTTTTTTCCCCCATTTATTCTATATTTAGGGACGTTGTTGCATATACATATATCTTGGATGGCTTCCACTGTGGATCGTTAATTTTGGTTTGGACCATAAGACACTCTTAATTACTAAGTTAATTATCTTCTCTCTTTAGCAAAAAAAGTTAATTATCTTCTCTGATTTTGGTCCATCGATCACCCGGCTTGCCTGATCCTTTTCGACTTCCTTTTTTTTTCTCTCTCTGTCTATCTCTTTCCTTTCTTCTTTTTAGTAATTCATGGTTATTTGTTTTCAATGAAAACAACCCGATTGAGAAGAGGGAATTATTAAAAAGAAGAAAAAACCAGAAAGCAATAAAGAAACTTACACCTCTCCCATATTAATTTGTTTCTATTTGTTACTCCAAAAGCGGCCAACTTATCTGTTTATACAAACAATATTATTAGCCTCTCAATTACTTTAAATTTGGTCCTTTTTTTTTCTTTATTTTTGAGAAGTAAAATAAAAAACACACAAGTGACCAATCTTATTTTGGTCATTGTCATTACTCTTTTGTTTTCACAAAAACTAGGAATAAATACATTTAATTATTTGGGTCGTAGATAGCTTGTCGGCGTCCACATATTTCTTAGGAATATTGCTATGATATTTTCAAAAGTTAATTACTTTTGTTTTTCTTTCGTTTTATGCTAAGAATAATGAGATAAGACATTTTCAAAAGTTGATTAACTTGCCGACAGTCTTTGGTCTGTTGGCGTTAGTTAATTAGTTGGAATCATATGATATTGTGATTATATTGTCCCTAATTCCCTTATTCCATTGCAAATTTTTCAGTCTTAATCTGTCATCAAATTACGTGCTTTACACTCAAACTCAAACCTTGTTCTCCTCCTTAACATTATGACTTCCAATATTTCCAAAATTCAATCATTACGGAGTGCACGCGGGATAACAGGCAAGTTTTATGGGAAAAGAGAAAAACAAATAAAAGAAAATTATATGGGTTGAACTTTGAAGCTGAATTAGTACTTAGTTTAGCAAGAATTTTAATTTTCATATAAAAACGCGTGTTTGTATTAAATTACATATGTTAATCAATAGAGTCCTCATATCTCATAGTATTTATGATCAGCTACTTTTTTTTTTTTTAAAAAAAAAAGCAAAAAGGAAGAAGAAGAGTTCATTCTTGTTATAAATTTTACTAATTTATTAATGTAATTTTACTAATTTCAATAACTTATATCGAAAATATACTAGGAATATATACCAAGTTCTATATAATTTTATGGGAATCCAGTTTTTTTTATCATAGTAACATACGTGTGACAATTTCTTTGCAGACACATTTAATAAGATATACCCTGAAATTGATTTTTTTCTTTAAGGTCAAGTGGGAATTGATATTAGAGTGGTATATTATTATTCTTAAAGGATTGGATTCATAAATAAAGAGCCATAACCTCCCAACGAATCAAAATTAAAAACAAAGCTAACACTTTTAACTTTTGACATTCGCTAGGAAACTTCGTGAGCAAATTCTCAAGTTTATAATATCTAAGAGGTGGTCATGTTTGAAAAATTATGTAGGTTAATTAAACTTTTGCCTTTTTTCCATTTTCCAATTGGATTCAAATTAAAGTCTTTATAGTTACACGATCAGTATCAGAATATATATCTATGACTGCTTTTTGTGATTATAGTAATGTTCCTCGAATAATAAAAAATATGCTCTGGGTATAACAAGTTATGGAGTCTTAAAAAAAGATTGTAGGAGTAGAAAATGTTGTAAATAAATACCCAAATAATCTAGGAGTGGCATCTACTTCCTGCTTACTGCCTGCTGATCGGTACATGGATCTTTTCTGAAGACTAACCCGGCGTGGTCCCAACTTAAACTCGTGATTTTTTATATAGCCACCCTGCATACCATGTTTGAGGAATATTTACGTCGTGGCTCTTAAGATCTCGTTAGAACTTATAACTTATTTTGTTTTTCTTCTTTTTTTCCTTTATCTTTTTAGAAAAAGTGCAAACGAACATGTTATTTTAATTTACTAAGTCTAATTATCAACGGAGGCTAAATTGTGGGCACAATTACTTTTAACTTTTTGATGAGAGAATCATCAATAAATTTTTAAATTGAAAGAAAAAAAAAATATTAGTGCCATGTCATCTTCGATTTATATTGTCATTTTAGAAATTTTAGATCCCACAAATAGAATAGAAATGACCTGATTCAATTCTACTTAAAAAATAAACACAGTTTTCAATTACGTCACCACACCACACATCTAACGCTGCATAATACATTAATCAGACATGAGTTTTTTAAGTGAAGTAATAAAGTATGAAACTTTGGAAAAAGAAGAATGACATCTTATCAGTGCATCAATCCTCTAATAGCGTGAAATCACTAAAGCATAAGTGAATACATCTTAGCCATTAATTTCATATCTAATATCTACTCTTGTATCATAAGTATTTTGGTTAAATTTTGGCCATCGATGAAATTTTAAGTGTTCATCTACTTGACAAGTGTATAACAAAAGACAATTTGAACTTTTTTTCTTTTCTAATGTTGACATGTGTCTACTTAGAAGAAAATTTAAACTTTTCTTCTTTCGTAATCTTCACACGTGTTTACTTAGAAGAAAATTTAAACTTTTTTTCTTTTCTAATATTGATAAGTATTCATTACATGTGAATTTTTTTACATCTATATATTATCTAATAAAGTGAATATTACATGTCATTTTCAATTTATATTATCATTTTAAAAGTTTTGGATCCTACTAATAGAATAGAAATAATCTGATTTAATTATACTCAAAAGATGAACTCAATTTTTAATTTTGCCACCACACCACGTATCTAACGCAGCATAATACATTGATCAGACGAGAGTTTTTTAAAGTGGAGTAATAAAGTATGAAACTTAGACGTATCTAGGAAGTAAAAAGAAGAAAAACATACTGATATCAATCTTCTCATAGTGAAATCACCAAAGTTGACATTTAGGCCGCACTTTTTCCACGCGTTTGCTTCAACTTCTGGCGACACTGCACTTACTTTTTGTTGGCTCACTCCTTAGCTAACACGTTATCTTCATTCCTAATATAAATACACAACCGCTATCCATACGTGTAAAAGTATTCCATTATCTATTCTAGAAAATACTAATCCAACCATCTATTGCCATCTCTCCACAGTATATTACTAACAATACAAATGGTCATTAGTCATTCAATAAAAACAAAAAACACCAAAATCTCTCATGGGGTCCACTTAAGAAAGTATTTGGTACATCTTTTTTGTTTTGAAATAGTATTTAGTATATGTGTTGTTCTAGTGAAGTCGATGGATTTGGCTATGTAATGCATATGGTCTTCTCTGAATAACTGATTTGCACCATTCAAGCAGGTGGTTTCAATTTATTGATTTATTTGTGTTTGGAATTGGCGCGTGCCAATTTATTTTACCATAAAGTGTAAAAAAAACAAAAAAATGTACCGTAATAAGTGGTGCCAACGCAATAATAAAATAACTTTAAGAAAAAGTTTGCAAAACCGTTTCACATTCCATTATGTCACGCTTCTTGCATGTGGTACAACTGTCCATCCAACCAAAATAATTGAAACTCTTTTTATTTTTTTTTAATTTTTAGGAAAATAATAGAAACTTTTTTTTAAAACTTTATTGAGAGGTAAGTAGACATATTCATTTATAGAAAGAAAAATAGAAAAAGAGAATTTCCCATTTGCCATCAAAAGAGAACCAATGAATTTGCTAAAAACAAAAAAAACAAAAAAAATTTAGAAGTATCAGGAAAATTTGTAAGAATTTCTATTTATTGTAAGATTTATTTTCCCAAAATTTCTCGAGCTCTGAGGACCGACCAAACCGGCCATACATATTTATGTTTTATGGTTTGGTTTGTTTTGTTTGTCTATATATAATATGTGTAAATTCAGAGAAACAATTTATTTTATTATTACCATTATTATTTTAACGTGTTTAACAAATCCATAATCTCAGTGTTTACAGATAAAAACTAAGGAGAAGTACAAGAAGACGAAAGGAAGACATTCTCTTTGAATTCAGTCGGTAGCCAAAATCCTCTTACTCTTTACTCTCACAATTATTCTTTCAATTATTTATCAAGGTAAAAATAAAAATGGTAAAAATAAAAATACTAAAAATACCTCTAAGAAAACTAAAAAATAAAATAGTGATAAAGAAATACAACAAAAAAATAAAAAATGTTTATATATATATATATATATATTTTTTTTTTTTCTATATAAGATCTGATATTGACATTTCTTCGGTTTTTTGGGAACCCTAATTATCAATCTCATCTAAACAAAAACAAATGGTTTAAAATATTTCCTGTTCCTTAGTGAGTACTAGTAGTATAGAAAAAGTGAAACAAAACTGTGTTTGTTAGAAATGGTTTTGATTGATGAGGAATGAATGAAAGAGAGAGAGTGATTAGAGAAGTGACGGTGCCATCTCTCCTGCGACAGTTTTTTCGTTTCTGTGTTCTTCTCCGGCGACGATGACAAGCTTCAAAGGGTCGCCTTACCGGCGAGCCGGCGATCTGGAGGCCGGAGGTAGCAGCCGCTCCGGCGACTTGGACGACGATGATATCTCCTCTGATCCTTTCGATATTCCCAACACCAAAAATGCTCCCCTCAATCGTCTTCGCCGATGGAGGGTCAGTCTTTCTCTCTCTTTCTTTCTATCTATATATATATATATATATGTTATATATGTATATACATGTTGGCTCATAGAGATGAATTGATAAATTAATACGGTATAAAGTGGGAGATTCAGAGTTTAAATTTTTTAATTGTATTTTTTATTTCCATTTAAATTATTATCACGTTAAATTTTTAATATATTTCTAGTTTAAGTAGTTACGTATCGGGCTTTTTAATTAATTTATCTATATGATTGTTTAAGCCCATATGTAAGGAGAGTGTTAAAGTATAAAATTATTATTGACCCACCTCTTAATAGCTTAAACTTTTGGATGAATCGATAAATTAACACACATGTATATATATGTATATATTCTTTTGTTGCTAATGTTATAATCTGCTCGTTTACTTGTTTAATTCATATTTCTTATTTCTAGCTTTTTTCATCTTTATTGGGAACAATTTTATGCAAGTTAAATTTGTCCAATCCGCACTTAAGATTATGAATTCTTTGCATTCTGGAGTTAATTTACGAGTGTTAGTCTATTGGAAATCTTGCTCGGAAAAACAATTGTGAATGTGATTTATCGGAGGATTTTTTTTTTTTTTTTTTTTTTTTTTTTTGGGGGGGAGTATAGAGAAAATACATTACTGGAACTCTGTTACTTTTTACAGCCTGATCATGTCGGAATCGTATTAGAAAATGGTCTGGTATATAATAGTGAAATTAGCACCATTTTTATGCACGATTTCTAGTATTCAATTTCTTAACTAATGTTCAGTTTTAGATTCTGAATTCTTTACGAAAATGCGTTTGGTATTTGTAATGTTTGTGGAGTTAATTTATAAGTTTAAGCATGTTGTAATTCTTGCTAGGGAAAAAGTTGGGATGGAAAATTTGTATAACACGGAGTATTATTCTTGTTATAAATGTTAGTCTTACATATTATTTCTTTTTTTAGGGATTTAGTAGTTGCATTGTTAGGTTTTATTTCTAGAAACTGTTTTTTGAATCTTAAAGAAGAAGGAAATTAGTAAATGCATGTTTTGTTGGGTTTAAGTTATTTTTCAGAAATTAGTTTTTGGAAATGGGCTGAAAAGCACCATTTATTTAACACATATTTAGTTTGAGGTTGTATTTCTAGCCAAAAAAAAAGGTATAAGGCTGTATTATGTGTTTTTATGATATTAGACTTACAAAAAAAAAAAAAAAAAAGAGAAAAAGAAAAAGAAATAAAAGAGAAAAAGAATAAAGGACTGGTTACCATGTCAATGAAAGAATTAAAGATATGGAAAACAAGATGGGGATTCTCTATAGGCTGATATGAAGGGATGTAGCACAGCTTGGTAGCGAGAGCCTGTTTCGTGCACAAAAAGTCACATTTGTTTTAGAATTTATAAAATATTTGTATTATGCTTGGTTAAACTTGGGAAGAGTTATGGCGGAATATGGTATTTTGTTTGACCAGTATCCACTTCAAAAGAGTGAAATTTGAAATCGTTTCCTGGTTGGAACTATTTGTTGCTCTTAGTTATTAGAAAGGACAACATGTTTACAATTACACGATTGATACTCTAGTTTGCCCACTCTTT